GTCACAGCAGAAATGGAGGCAGGCTAAGCAACCCAAATCTTCTACTGACCAAGTTTCAGGTTCCTGTTCTTGGCTGAGAGGAATGGCACCCAGTTTGGTCTTCTGCTGCTGTAGCCCATCAGTTTGAAGGCTTGACATGTTGTTCGTTCCGAGGTGCTCATCTGCATACCTTGGTTGTCACACCTGGTTATTTGAGTTGCTGTTGCTTTCCTATCATCTCAAAGAAGTCTGGTCATTCTCTTCTGACCTCTGACATCAACATGATATTTTTTCCTAGAAGACTGCTGCTCCTTGGATATTCTCTTTTTTTCATACGTCACTTAAAATCAACTTTCTGATATCCAGCTGGAACTTTGTCTTGACCATGTCTTCTTGAATATATTCACTGAGTTACACCATGTGATTGGATAATTAAATTAATTGTTTTAAGAGCACTTGAACAGCACTTGAACCTGAAAAAGCTGGTGAATGTATAATTCAAAAAATGTTGTTGTTATAACCATATTTTTTGGAATATATCTCATTTATACTGTAAACACATCAAATACTGTTTTTAGACATCATAATTATTTCACATCCATCTTTCCTTTGTAGCGTGTGGTTTAATGAAACCCCATAATAGATTCAGTAAGCCAAATTGTAGGTCTAAGTTCAGCCTTTTGCAACAGTGTGGATTCTAAACCAGCAGCGAGAGAAAGAATCTAGCAAAGGAAAGAAAACTGAGAAACTGTAAAAAATGTCAATTGGCAAGGCTGAGAGAAAGACTGAAATATGTATTTTAAACTCTTTCTCATATCTCCCTTATCTCCTGTTTTCCACTTCCAAATTTAACACGATTTTCACACCTGAGATTATTTCTAGGAAAGCTGTGGAACACAGATAAGCGCGTGTTTGTGTCAGTGTGTTTAACTGTGCTTCTGTCTATCTGTCATCGTAATGAGACACCAAATGCTGACAGCCACGCACGCAAACTTGTTCAGAGATTCTTCGCTCGGATAATTATGACTGATGAGTGTGTCAGTCACAGATGTACTTACCAGGGCAAACACGCACAAACACGCACACAAACACGCACACAAACACTAACCTGCACATCAGTGAATCAGTGAAACAAAGCCAAAGACTCTGAACGTACAAAATGAGACACACTCACACACTCAATTACAGCTCCCTTTTTTTTTCAAATGCAATAATGTGACACACACATCAGTGTCACAAGGAGCCAGAACTTAAGCCAAACAAAGCAAAGTCTTGCTGATAATTCACACCACAGGCAATTAACATCCACTCAACAAGTTCGAATGTCATCAACAAATCCACCAATACATTTTGCAGCAAGCTGATTTTACTTGGTGAAAATGTAAGAAAATTCAGACACGGACGAGGGAGAAAAGAACAAAAGCGAGAGAGCAAACTGGAGAACAATATGCTTTAAATATGCAGGGGTTGAGTGTTTTACAAGAGAAATGGAAAATTTAGAGGCAGAGAAAACACTGAAAGAGCAATGAGAGGTAAGAGGAGATTAAAAAGAAATGAGAAAGAGGGAGGCAGCGGTGGGATGAAGCATGTGTGCAAGAGACAGATAGGGTGTGTATTAAAACAGAA